TGCGGGGCGCGGTGTGCATGGTGCTAACCCAGGGTCTGGTGGGTGCCGGCTGCCAACTCTCCATCCTCTGCGCCAGGTACCAGTTCAACCCTGCTTTCTTCCAAACCGCCGTCACGGCTCAGATCCTGCTCAAAGCGCTGACCAACCTCCCTCACACAGACTTCACCCTCTGCAAGTGCATGATCGACCAGGCTCACGTATCCTTCTGGCACGCCCCTCTCGCGCCCAGCGGCCTGTCCAGCTGTCCTCCGGGCTCTCGGCAGTGATGGGGTGCACGCCCAGCAGCCCCCCGTTCTCCCAGGGCGCCGCCCCACCGACAATCCTGAGCCAGCAGTGGCGTCCGGTGGTGTGCCCAGGGAGCTCCTTGGGCTGGCCAGAAGGCTGAGGATGGGAGCCAGCCCCTTGGCTGTGCTGGTCCCCGGTGGGCGCTTGGCTGCGCTGTGCCGCGGAGCAGTCTACACTGGCTGCTCCTTTCCTCCCAGCTGGGGCCGTGGGAGCTGTAAGCCAACTCCTGAGAGCAGGGCTTGAAGGGGGCATGTCTGCTTTTCGTGGGGTGCTGGTACGTTGCAGGGCTCTGTCTCCGTTCCCTGGGGTGATCAGTAACCTGTCGGGGCAGGGCAACTTGCTCTTGTGCTCCCGGCCTGCTGACTCGGCTTCTTCCCTCCCCTGCGGATGTTTCCCTTGACCCCCTGCACCTCAGCAAGAAGAGAGGCCGATCAGGCAGATCCTCTACCTGGGGGAGCTCCTGGAGACCTGCCACTTCCAGGCCTTCTGGGTGAGTCTCCCCTCCCCCAAGGTCTCATGGAGCTTGCACCTCTGAGCTCGCCAGGAGCTTGGCAGGTGTGTGCAGAGCTGGGAGGAGAACCCAGCAGTCCTGGCCCTGGCGTAGCTTAGCAGTTGGCCTCCTAGGCTGTGAACCCAAAGGCTTCTACAAGGTGACACAGGCTGATCGCTTACTGGATCCTCCCTTTGATGGCCACAGGCTCCCTTTAGAACAACCCGGCGGGGGGTCAGGCCCTTTCTCTCCGGCGTTGGTCCCTGGCTGGCTCACCACCTTGGCCCTCGCCGTGCCCCGTAGTTCCTGCCGCTGCCTGGCCGGTGACTAACCGTCCTCTCTCTGCAGCAAGCCCTGGATGAGAACATGGAGCTTCTGGACGGGATCACGGGCTTTGAGGATTCTGTTAGGAAATGTGAGTCTAAGGGGGCGCCCCCGGCCGGGGCTCTGCCTGCGCGTGCTGGGCTGGAGGGGGCTGTGCCCTTCCTCTGGGAGGCAGGTGCTGAATCCCTGCTTGTTTCCCTGCTGTGCCTAATGGGACTGGAGCCACCTGGAGCTGAACTCTAGCCGGCAGGCGGGCCAGGCCATGGGGAAATAGCAACCCCTGTCTCTGTCCTCCCACAGTCATTTGCCACGTGGTGGGGATCACGTACCAGCACATTGACCGGTGGCTGCTTGCGGAGGTGCTGGGTGACCTCTCAGGTAAGACCTTTGTCCTCCAAGGCCGCTCTGGGCTCGCGGTCTCCCATCCCCGCTGGGAACAGCTCAGCCGTGCTCCACCCGGGCGCAGTGACCAGAGGGGCTGGCACAGGGCTCCGCCTGCCCTGGGGTTCCTGGACTCGCTGGCTGCGGCAGAGAAGCAGCTCTCCGGCTGCCTAGTTGGGGGTCTCTGCTCTCACCTCACTTGCTGGCTGGGGCTTGACTGGGCAGCCAGGGGCGGGCGACGGGGTGCGATCCCATCCGGTGCTCGCGGGGGACAGCGGCTCTGCTAAATGCCTAGAGCCCATCTCCGCGGCCGGCCGGCCCCTCTCTCTGCAGACAGCCAGCTGAAGGTCTGGATGAGCAAATATGGCTGGACAGAAACTGAGTCGGGCAAGATCTTCATCTGCAACCAGGAGGAGAGCATCAAGCCCAAGAACATCGTGGAGAAGATCGACTTTGACAGTAAGCGCTGAGTGCCCACCTGGGCTCTGCAGGGGGCTCTGGCAGGCCCCGCCAGAGGCTGGCTGTCACAGGCTGGCTGAAGTCGGGGTGCCAGGTGGGTTCCAGCAGCAGCGAGAGGAGTGGCTCTGAGTGGGAATTGTTTGTTTGCAGGTGTGTCCAGCATCATGGCTTCCTCCCAGTGATGGTGCCTCCTTCCTGCTGCCCGGGAACCAGCTCTGGGCTCCTCTAACATCTGTCCACCCTGCCAATAAAAGCACCGGTGTGGACCTTGTCTCCTCCAGTGTGGGGCCTGGGTAACATTAGGGGCAGGCGTGGGGCTGGGCTCCAGCCAGCAGGAGCTCCTAGTTGGCCTCGGCAGCTGGTTCCATCAGGCGGGGGGCTCCAGCCAGCAGGAGCTCCTAGTTGGCCTCGGCAGCTGGTTCCATCAGGCGAGGCGATGCAGCTGTCAGCCAGCCAGCTCCACGCAGCCGGGCAGGGAGGTGGGGGCAGTGCCAGGCCAGTCCAGGGGCAAGGTGGTGAGGGGCACGGGCATGAGGGCTGGCTGTATCTGCAGGTGGCTGGGGGCAGGCTGCCCAGGGCCACCTTGTAGTGCTGCTGGTCACCTCTGGTGAGAAGCCCAATGTCAGCCGAGGGTAGAGACCCAGCTCACGGGCCGTGTGAGGGACTTAGAGGAGCCCTAGGCCGGGGCTTTGGGCTGTGGCTCCAGGAAGGAGGCATTTCCTGCCAGTAGAGGAGGCAGGCTGCGGTGCGCTGCTGCGGGGG